GCGATCAGTATTTAGTATCAGTTTAAAAACACAAAATAAGTGTGTATCAAATGTTAAATAAAGGGCCAATCTGTGTTTGTACTTCTAATGGAGGGAGAAGGAAAAAGGACCCTTATTTCACCACAGGAACTTCATAAATATATTTATAGATACATGCAGTCCCTGTGAATTCCAGCACCCATGAAAAATATCCCAAAGAGAAATAGAAGGGGAAGTGAGTGGAGCCATGGCCTGCTACAGAATGGCATACATATCCCATCCTTGCTGGACCAGGAGCAGGTGTGTGTCTTCGGAAATGGATCTGTGACTTAATAGCTAACCGTATCCTAAGCAGTACTCTGAACTGTAGCCAATAGTCACTTCTTGAATTAAATGTTGCTCTTTCTCAGCAAAATGTAAATGCATGAGTAAATTACGCTTCCCACTGGACAGATATGCTATAGGTCCATGAGTAACCACGGCACAGTGATCTCTTCGTTTCTGACACACCAACACAAGCTGGGCGTGTCTCCGGATGATGCACTGCACATGAGGAAAGATGAGTTAGTGTGCCAGGAAGCAGAGCAACCTCAGAAGAGAGGTGTGTCTGGGCAAGGTCATGGCCCCACTCATCTTGCATAACTGTAGTTAAGGGAGCACTGGCTAGACCTGTCACACAGATGCAGCAAGTTCACTTACTGGTGTGCTCCCCCAAATTTGCCAGAAGGCATTCTGCATTTTAAAGACATAATGCTTCCATTCCCTCTGAAGTGGATTCATCCTTGCAAGAGGTGTAATTGAGCCCTTAAGTTGTGCTTTCTAATTTCTTACATTGCTTCTGGAGGGGGGAGGAAAGCAACAGAAAGATAGGAGGAGTGTGAAGGCAAAAATAAGAAAGTCATTTAGCAACATTAAGGAAAACTCATTTTTTGGAATATGAACTGTAGTAGTACATAGTCCCTGAATTCATTATAATTGCTGGACTCAATAATGTGCAGGGATCCCTCACACCACATAGATCATTCTAAAGAGCTATCAGGAAATTTATGCATTCCCATGTCATACAAATTGTTTTTACAGTAGCCTCTGTTAAAAATGTGATATCATTTGTAAGGAAAATTACTTGTACAACACCATTCTTATGTTTAGACCAGGAAATATCACAGAGAGGCCCCAATTCAGAAAAGTATTTAATCATATGCCTAACTAAGCCGAGTAGTCCCATGTGCTCCAATGGGACTACTGCTATTAAGCACACATTTAAGTATCTTGCTGAATTGGAGCCACTCTCTGGTAAAAAAGTGGCCACAGGGCGTTTTACAATCGGTTAATACAAATCTGACATGCTTGTTTTATGGCTTCAGTGTAGCCTAATGGCACAGTTAGATAAGATACCCATTCAGAACTGCCTCATGCACCTGAGTACATTCACTTTCAAGTGCCAGTGTTCCACTGCAAAGTTAGCACTTAAAATAATTTTACCACATTACTTTGCAGTTGATGTTATCAATTAAGGAGTTCTAATAAATGCCAAACCCTGACAAACGTAACCTCTTGACATCATATGAAGGCCAGATAATACGCATTCTAAAACACAGACCAACCCTATTATAACATGAAACTTTTAGTGATCCCTTTGTTCTCTCATAAATGCAAGGGAAAACTGCATACAGAACTTACCCATTCACTTAAAAAGAGTTGCCTGCATTGCTTCACACTTCCTTATTGAAGGGAGAAGAGATCCCTAAATTGGATACTAAGCATTTCAAATTTTTTTCAAACTTAAGCAGAAAAATAGCTCTGCTAATTCCCTCTGACATGCCCTTATTTACAGTTATTTGCTCTGCATTTGGACTGTTTCTTCCCATTCAGAACAAGCTATCTTTTAAAACTTCATTATCACAACCCTTATTCTTAACACACTGCTTTATGCACAGTGAAAGACAGATCGTGGTTGATAGCCACTAAATTGATGATGTTAGAATCTGGACAGCTTTAGGTGATGGCATCTGAGGCACTGGGCCAGAAAGCAAGAAAAGGAAGGGGAGCATGACCATTCATCTAACACCGAAGGCCATCGATTGCCCTTCCACTAAATAGAACTGCTGATTTGGAATTCATTCAGATTCAGAGCCCTGAGCAGAATCCCTGAATGAGTAAACAATTTGCTTGTGTTAAACACATCAGTTTTCTCATCATCTGACATGAAGTAAATAATGCACCAATAAATACCCTGGCTGAAGATAAGGCACAAAAGAAGCTTCTCATTCAGTTACCTACATTTTTTAAGGACAATTTTATACCTGAATTAAAACAAATCAAAAAGGAAAAATTCTAGTTATTCAGTGTTGAATTTTTCCAAGGTATTATGACTAATTCTGCTTATGGAAGGCTGACTCCCAACTTTGAAACCACACATGGTCATTTGGAAAATAGGAGAGAACTATTATCAACAAATGTGTTGATTTTTTCTTGGATGAGAAACAGTTATTGTAGTTAAAATGAAATTTAATCACCACTGAGACCTGTGATAACTTTCACTTTTCAGCAACTCATAGACTTTAAAGTCAGAAGGGACCATCATGATCATCTAGTCTGACCTCCTGCACATTGCAGGCCACAGAACCTCACCCACCCACTCCTGTAATAGACCCATAGCCTCTGACAGCAGTCAATTAAAAAAAGGCTCTTGTGCTCTTTGTAGTGATAATAACCTAATCAAATGAGTCTTTCCTGAGAGTATGTATATACTCTGAACACTCCAGATGGGTGTACCTAAGCCAATGCTAGGTAATATTGGGGTTTAGGAATGCTTGGACTGACTATACTGGAGTCCTGAGGCTGAAATTAAGCAGATGTGAATCTTTAAGGAATATGTGATATTGTGTTGCTCATTTATGTCAGAAATAGACATGGGTCTGTGCAATAAAATTCAGATTCAAACTCAACTGTAGGTTCTTAGAATGCGGGGGTTTGGTTAAACCCATGATACAAACAACGGTGAACATTTTGCTGAGCTGTGAATTTTAGACACAGCTCTAAGCTTGCATGTGAAACACCCCACCATTTTGGGTTGTTTAGATGAGGATTTGGTTCAGAGCATCTCTAGTCAGAGTGACTTTTTTCCAAATATGACTATAATGCTTGAAATATTTTTTAAAGATCATATATGGTATGTTTCATGTCCAGCTTCAGTAGATGCCTGAAATAATTTTGCTGAATAGATTTATTTTCCTTGTTTTTAAATAACATGTTCAGTATGAGAACAAACATGAGAAAATACAGCTTAAGGAGATTTGGAGAATAAGACACCAGTGAATGAAATTCAGTCGTTAGAAGAAAGAATGTCAACCGTAACAATAATATGTCATAGTAATATACTGTGCCTTATCTGAGGTATTTCCTTTAATTCCTGACAAATGTGTACAAAAATTATGCAATGTAAATTCCTATAGCAGGCCAAACTGAAGAGAGATCTTCAGTACTAAGTTCCCTCCTTGCTTGGAAAAACAAAACAAACAAACAAAAAACCTACCATCTCTATATGTGTAAGGACAGAATGCACATTTCACTTTCACTATTTGCCATTGTCTCCTTAATACAAAATATTATTTATTTGGCTAAAGACTTGGTAATCTTCTTCCCTCTGTTAGGGCATAGGTTTCTTCAATTGAGAAGACCATGGTCTTTTGTGCGCTAAAGGAACAGATAGAATTCCATTTAATATTTGGAATGTTGCAGTCTTTCTTTTTCTGTTGCTTATCTACCAGATAATAGCACCAAAAGTTTAAGAAAGCCACAGTCTTCAGCAGAAAGAAGTGTCAAGAAACTTAAACCAAGCAGGTGTGTTTTACAAAATATTTATTAGTGAATGGTAATATACTGGGAAAATATTATATACTAATATATATGCTACTATGAATCAAGGACCATTAAAACTTTAAAGACTAATGGTTATTCATATCTAGGTCCCTACCAAATTCATAGTCCATTTTGGTCAATTTCACAGTCATAGGATTTTAAAAATCATAAATTTTATGACTTCAACTATTTAAATCTGAAATGTCGCAGTGTTGTAATTGTAGGGGTCCTGATCCGAAAAGGAGTTGTGGGTGGGGGGGTTGCAAGGTTATTGTAGGGGGTGCTTGTGGTATGGCTACCCTTACTTCTGCACTGCTGCTGGCGGCAGCACTGCCTTCAGAACTGAGCAGGTGGAGAGCGGCAGCTGCTGGCTGCAATACCAGTTCTGAAGGCAGAGCCACCACCACCAGCAGCGCAGAAGTAAGGATGGTATGGTATGGTATTGCCACCCTTATTTCTGTGCTGCTGCCTGCAGAGCTGGGCCCTCAGTCAGCAGATGCCACTCTCCAGCCACCCAGCCCTGAAGGCAGCAGTGCAGAAGTAAGGATGGCATGGTATGGTATTGCTACCCTTACTTCTGTGCTGCTGCTGGCGGGGCACTGCCTTCAGAGCTGGGCACCTGGCCAAAAGCCGCTGCTCTCCAGACACCCAGCTCTGAAGGCAGCACAGAAATAAGGATGACAATACTGCAACACCCCTAAAAATAACCTTGTGACCCTCCTGCAACTCCCTTTTGGGTCAGGACCCCAATTTGAGAAACACTGGTCTTCCCCGTGAAATCTTTATAGTATAGGGTAAAAGCACACAAAAGACCAGATTTCAAAGGGGAAGACCAGATTTCACAATCCATGAGGCGTTTTTCATGGCCGTGAATTTGGTAGGGCCCTATTCATATCTCTAAGTCTTTAGTTCTATATAAAGGAAATTTAAAATGCATATGGTATATCCATGCAAAGCTGCACATTCCATGTCAAAAGACAGGGTCAGTGGGCCTAGGATATTAGACAGACAAGGTGGGTAAGGTAATATATTTTATTGGACCACTTCTGCTGGAGAGAGGCACAAGCTTTCCAGCTACACTCAGCTATTCTTCAGATCTGGGAAAGGTACCACAGTGTCACAGCTCGATACAAGGTCAAACAGATAGTTAAGTTGGAGCAGCGCGGAGCCCCAGCGAGAGGCGCAGTCACCCCGGGTTCGTGAACATGCTGAAGGCCGTGATCCTCATTGGGGGGCCGCAGAAAGGGACTCGCTTCCGGCCCTTGTCCTTCGAAGTCCCGAAGCCGCTGTTCCCGGTGGCTGGGGTGCCCATGATCCAGCACCACATTGAGGCCTGCACCAAGGTTCCAAGCATGAAGGAGATTCTCCTTGTGGGCTTCTACCAGCCCAACGAAGCCCTGAGCCGCTTCCTGGTCTCTGCACAGCAGGAGTTTAAAATCCCAATCAGGTACCTGCAGGAGTACGCGGCGCTGGGCACGGGAGGCGGCATCTACAACTTCCGGGACCAGATCCTGTCGGGCAGCCCCGAGGCCTTCTTCGTCCTCAACGCGAACGTGTGCTCGGAGTTCCCCCTGCCAGAGATGCTGGCCTTCCAGCAGCAGTGTAGAGACCCGCACAGCTTCGTCATTCTGGGCAACACGGCCAACAGGAAGCAGTCCCTGAACTACGGCTGCATTGTGGCCAACACGGAGACGTGCGAGGTCCTGCACTACGTGGAGAAACCCAGCACCTTTGTCAGCGAGATCATCAACTGCGGCATCTACCTGTTCATGCCCGCCATCTTCCAGCACATCGGTGAGGTCTTCCAGAGGACCCAGCAGGAGCTGCTCCTGGAGGATGGCACCAACGGCTGGCAGCGCGCCGAGGTGATCCGGCTGGAGCAGGACGTCTTCACGGCACTAGCCGGGCGCGGCAAGCTCTACGTCTACAAAACCGACAGCTTCTGGAGCCAGATCAAATCGGCTGGCTCTGCCATCTACGCCAGCCGCCTCTACCTGAGCCAATACAGCCAGTGCCACCCGGAGAGACTGGCCCGGAACAGCCCCGAGGGGCCCACCATCCGAGGGAACGTGTATATCCACCCGACGGCGTCCATCGACCGCAGTGCCGTGCTGGGCCCCAATGTCTCCATTGGGAAGGGGGTGACGGTGGGAGCCGGCGTGCATGTGCGCGAGTCCATCATCCTGCATGGGGCATCGCTGCAGGATCACACCTGTGTGCTCAACAGCATTGTGGGCTGGGACAGCACCATCGGGCGCTGGGCCCGGGTCGAGGGGACGCCCAGTGACCCGAACCCCAATGACCCCTATGCCAAAATCGACAGTGAGACCCTCTTCAGGGACGGCAGGCTCACGCCCTCCATCACCATCCTGGGCTGTAACGTCACCATCCCCGCAGAGGTCGTGATCCTCAACTCCATCGTCCTGCCCCACAAGGAACTGAGCCGCAGCTTCAAGAACCAGATCATCCTGTGAGGGGCCAGCCGGGAGCTGGGAACCGACTGGGCCTCCCGGGCAGCCCCGGCTGCAGCGTAGGTGCCCGAGCCCAGCCTGTGCATGGCTCAGTTCCCCCTGCTCTGGCCAGGCTGTGCCCTGGGCCCCGCCAGCCACTCCACAGATAGTTAAGTGTAAGTCATTAGCACATATTCTAAGGGACTATTGAAAGTGAAATGGCTCTTTAACACCCATGTAGTCATAGGACAAAAAGCAGGTTAGTGGGTTATAGATTTTTATAATAAGCCATAAATCCAATGTTTATTTAAGGGTACGATTACATTACAAATTATCAGAGTGGTAGCTGTGTTAGTCTGTATCAGCAAAAAGAATGAGCAGTACTTGTGGCACCTTAGAGACTAACATTTATTTGGGCATGCAGACACGAAGTAAAACTATTTCCCCAGGCTAATTTTTTCCCTTCCTGTTATTCACACCTTCTTGTCAACTGTTTGAGATGGGCCATCCTGATTATCACTTCAAAAGTTTTTTTTCCTCCTGATGATAATAGTCCACCTTAATTGATTAGTCTTGTTATAGTTGGTATGGCAACACCCATTTTTTCATGTTCTCTGTATATATATATATATATATATATCTTCCTACAGTATTTTCCACTCCATGCATCTAATGAAGTGGGTTTTAACCCACGAAAGCTTATGCCCAAATAAATTTGTTAGTCTCTAAGGTGCCACAAGTACTCCTCGTTCTTATTGCAAATTTGACATGAGTAGTTTCAGCCATTCATAAAATGGCCAGAGGAGAAGAAGGAGGTGGTGCTGCTGTTCCCTCCCCCCAGTCCTCCCATAACATGTAGCCCAGTGGATGTGGGAAAGCCAAGTTTGAAATCCTGCTGTGGAGCAGGCCCCAAATTAACTTTTTTGAGTCAACAAATTTAAAAAAAAATTAGATTTAGTTTAATGCTAACCAAATTTTTTTTAAAAAATGTTTTTTGGAACTGCCACCAAACCAGAAAAAAAAAATCAATAATTCATCCAACTGTGCTCATATGCAGTCCT